CTAGATCCTTCGGGAAAAAGATCAAGTTCGGAATGAAAAAGCTCGATTATTGTTGCAGAAAGATAAGCTAGAAGCACTTTGTCGTGAATTGCAAAGGCAAAACAATTCTATTAAGGTATAAAATATTTAATCCTAAATGATATTAGTAGTTTAATTTAATCTGATTTACATTTATCTTGACTAGTTTGTTAAAATATAACAGTTTATTATTTAATTTGTCCATTTTGGCCCTTTCAGGCTTTTGTTATTGATTTTACTGCCTCAATCTTATTTTCTTCCAGGAAGAATGTTTATCAAGAACACGAATTGAAGAGGAACGCCGGAAGGCTGTGGCCGACAAATTTCAAGCTAGTATATCGGATATACAAGAACAATTAAATGCATATCAGACAAGAAATACCGAATTGCGTAATGAGAACGTACAACTTGCTCAGAAATTATCTGCTTTCATTAAGCAATATGAGGCAAAAGAGGAGCATATTGAAAAGGCAACTATAATTTTTCATCGCTGCTTAGATTAAATGACCTTTAGCTCCCTCCTCTTGTTAGTTACTGCAATTTTTGCCCGTATGCCAATGAGTAAGAATAATAAAATGTGTATACAAGTTTGCCTGGGTAGTCACTGATTTGCTCTAACGCTTATTAAATTATTTAACAGATTTTAGAGGCTAATATTTCTTTTTAATTACAGAGCCATAGTTTCCTTTTTATTTGCCATAAAATCTGATCCACTGGTTTATAATTCACATGTTTACTGATGAAGCGAACTAGTATATTTTTATAAGAAATGCACGCATTCGAAGCCTGTGTCTTACACTTTACACCTCGATTTTCTGCTCAATTAGATATTTTCGGTTATCTATACCAGCTCAAGATAAGTTTGACTAATTTATTGATTAGCAATGATTCACTTATGCCCTATCTTTCTTATTTCAATTAACCTAGCGACATGTGTGTTTTCGTGTTTCATGCAAGCAATTGTAACTCATTGCCCCAGTTAACTTATAGGCTATACTATGCTTATAGATTACTTATAAGTCATATTCTACATTCCATTATGATTCTTATTTAGATGGAGCATTTATAATGTTGTGGCCTATTAATTTTTTGTATCCTATTATTTGATTAGTATATCCATATTAAACTTATGAGAATGGTCGATTTTTGTATTTTTGCCAACTGTATTTTGTCTTATTATTCGGATTAGACTGCGTTCTCTACCTTGTATAGTTCTTAGCATCTCCGGTGGATTTCAAAAAGTTTATTTGCGGCTCAGGGCAAAATGTTTCTCCATAGACTAGCTAACTCTAATTCCAAGACTTTAAGCGAGATTTCCAACCCTCCGAACATTCTAGGAGGTCTAGGCAAGATCTAAGTCATAGAATCAGTACTGCAAGCTTATTAGGATGTATGAAAAGAAAAACTTCATCGAAGACCTAAGCATTCGTGAGAAAATTTGTTGGCATTTCACTGAAAAACCAGTGGGATCTGGTTTAGCTTGCTATAATCTTTCAAATAATTTTAAACAGAAAACCCATCAACTATAGGTCGGAATATTTTGGCTTTCGTGCTACGGACACTTAACGATCTCATTCGCCAACTTGAACACTATTTTGCTTTGCCTTAGGTTCTACAAACAAAAGAATTAGAGGCAAAACTCGCTGACGCCAAGCGACACAAGACAGAATGCCTCCTTGACCAGGAAAAAGCCAGAGCGGATCATCAATTAGCAAGAACCAATGAGGAGACAAAATTAATGTCAGATCGGATGAATATGCATCTACAAATGGAGGAACAGCTGAAGAAACAGGTAAATGACTATCACTACGACTATTTTGGAACTTTGAGGGTCATATGATTGCTTAATGCATTGGATGACTTGTCACTATACTAGGACTGATATTTTTTAGATCGGCGCTCACAGAACGCCATTATTACTAAAGCGGGAATACTTTTTCAGATAAAACTTGCCGGCACATAACCATAGGAAAGATGGGCTTGGCCCTCGTAATATACCAGGATTCCAACTCGGCCAATGATACTTAGCGGACTCTCATTCATTTTGACTGTTTCACTTTATATGAAGCTGTGGTCGCAATTACTGGGGTCTAGTGAGGGTAATCTATACCTTCTAATTGGATAGTATGTGAAAATAAATGGCAAGACGAAAATGCGATTACAAAGCATCTCATGTATGCAAGCCACATTGTTTAAGTTGAGCAG